CCGCCGCCCGCCCGCCGCCCGCCCGGGACCCACTTGTAGCAGCCACAGGATCAAACTCAGTTCACCTCTCGCCGCCTCTTCCTTCTCGCCGGCGTCTCGCTGAGCCCTGCACCTACAGACGGACGAGATGTGAGACACACACACACATACACACACGCGCGCGCGCGCACACTCACACACACACACACACACACACACGGTGCGCACTCGCACGGTGCCCGCTTGGCTGCTAAGGATACTTCCCTCCCTCTTTTCCTCCCTCCTGGTGTAGGGCCCCCTCTTCCCGCACCCGGCCTTCCCTCGTGGGTCAACGCCCCAGCAAGTGAGGTCTGAACGCGACTGAGAGGTGCCCCAAACCCTTGAGGGTCCCTAGCTCCTATTCCGTTGCGCCTTGCTAGCTCCTATTTCCCGGGACCCCTCACTCCCCACCCCCTCCATACGCTACTTACATTCCGCCTTAGCCGGGGCTCTCACCCTGTATCAGAATATGCCCAAACCTCCGGATGCCAAGGACTTCTGCCCCCGGTCTCTTACTCCGTAAGACCCCAATGTCCCCCACCCCCTTCTGCGTCCGGGCTGTTGGCGCTGTGATCCCTCCTCCCGGACGCCTCGAGACCCCCCCCCAACTTTGTGGTCCCCTCAGGCCCTCGCAGCGTCGGAGGAGCCCGATGCAGGTCCCAGAGAGTGTATCGCACCGAGGACAAATGCGGCGCCTTGGCACCGGGAGGCGGGAGGAGTCAGGTACAAACGTTCATTGATACAAATGAATAAATAAACATGTCGGGTGAGCTCTGCCACCTTCTCCCAGCCGGCCGCAGAGGGCCCGCGCGCGTGCCTGTGCGAGGTGTGCGTGTGGCCCGGGGCCGCACCTGCGTGCGTGCGCGTGTGTGTTCCTGGGTCGGCTCCACGTCTGGGCAGCCGTGTGGTGCGTCTACGGGGCTGTGTGTTCTCTCTGGAGCTGTATGTGTGCCCGGGCACCCGCGCATCCTGCTGTCATGTGGCCGCTCTCCCTCCGTGCCTGTGATACGGGGTTCTGCGTGCCAACCCTGCATGGTCTAACTAGTGCCTGGCTCGCCCTCTGCGGCCGTGTGTCCTGCTCGCCCAACCCCGCGTCTCTGTGGCTCACTCGCACGCCCAGAGCTGCACACTCGATAGCCCACCTTCAGTTTTGGATGGTGTGTACATGACACTAGACTTCTCTATCAGCACCTCCTCTGCACCCAATAAGAGCTCTCATTTAGACTTCACTGGAAGAGAATGTATGTGAGCGGCTAAGGTGCGAGCTTTTGTGCTGTCTCTCCCTGCGTGAGCGCTACTGAGGTTGCTGCGGAGATTTACTAACTGGTTTCCAAGCTTCTAGCGCTGGGTCATCTCCACTCTCACTCTCTGCCCTGGAACCCCACCTGGTGGACAGTTCTAGTACTACAAGTTCAAGGGGAAGCCATTGCTTCTTGTTGGTCTCTCAATCTCAGCTCAAAGCAGATCAACCCTAGAAGAGTCTGCTGCGCGCTTCCAACGGGCTCCATCCTCCCCCCCATCAGTGCCCGCATATTTCCTCCCCCGGTGGCCTGGGGTCCAGACTTAAAGTTCCCGCGAGGACCTCTGTGGCCCCAGAAATAAAAAACTAGGTACATTCCAGCACCAGGGAAATTTCACTGGACAGCCAGCTCTGGACTCCCAGCCCTGGAGGGGTGAGGCTACTCCCCATTTGGGGATTAAATTTGGCAAGAATTCGCCTGGAGGAAATGGTTGGGATGCTGCTGTTTTGAAAAACCCTGACTCCCCAGGTATAGTGCTGGTCCCAGAGGTGGTGAAATGGGTGTGATGATCCTGGGGAACCCAGCTGGGAGACATCAGTCTCCAAAAAGACAGCCTTACAGAAATAGGTGCACTGGCCAATACTGAGCACACACACTCCCAGGAAGGCAGATACCCTAGAGATTCACTGTCAGCAAATCGCACCTCGTGCGCACACACACACACACACACACACACACACACCACAGGGCCTCTACAGGAGGTGCCCGCTCTTAGGGCATCCAGCCCCGAAGTCTCCCTCTTCCCTGGCCCTACTCCCTTTTGTGCACTCCCACCTCTCCTCCTGTGGGGTATTGGAGGGAAATGGGGTTGTCATTTGGAGTCCATTTTGCTCAGCCACCACCTGGGCCGCTGGGTGGGAACTGTCCACAGGGATAGCACAGCGCCATAGCACTACTTCCTGGGTGTCCTAACTGGAACCATCTCTCTGCTCAAACCCCAAAGAGTGCACAGGAAAAAGAGGAAAGCGAGCCATGGCCCTGCACTTCTCGGGTCCTGGGGGGATTAGGAATACGGGGCCAGCGGAGCAGACAGGTTAGAGGACCCCAGGACAGGTCAGCAACCGCCTTCGCCACTCAGACTTCAGGAGCGGACCCTCTAGGCTCTGTCTCTGGTGGGCTTCGACCCTGCCCCAGTGAGCCCGAGCCAGACCTCGGTCTGATCCAGTCCTGTCCTGAGTCTATTCCCAGGCTGCCCCACCCCTGCCTGGTCACAGGTGAGACCTGTGCCCCATCCCAGACTGAATCCCAGTCCCAGCAAACATCGTCCATCCCACCTTTGGCCAGAAGAGTGTGCCTGGCCCAAATGGACTGCCCCAAAGTGGGGGGAACAACTCTTACGTGAGACTGTGTGGGTTATGGCATGGCTTCTTTTCTCATGGCCTGAGTGTGATCTGCCCGTTCCCCAGCACCCCTTTCTAATTTCATGGGCCCAAACAGAGTAGGAAATCGGTCAGAGGGATGTTGGTTCAAGTGAAGTTCTGACTAGATGGATTTTGCAATGATGGGTAAAGGGGGTGTGATATGGCGACCTCAAGCCTGGGATGAGGCAGGCAAGGCCACTGTAGCTGCCCGGCAGGCTCAGAACGCGCCCATCCAGGGGCCAGATCTGTTGGGGTCCTGCCCCTCACTAAGGCACAGGCTCCCCACGTCCCTGCACGTGTGCAGTCCGGAGAACCAAGCCGCAGTTTATTTCATCTCCACAGGAGTCCCGTGCATGAACACTCTTTTTAAATACTGAATTTACACATTATGTTTTGTACTAATAAGGAAACTGAGGCCTCCTCCCCGTCGTACCTCCCACTCCCTCTCGCCATGCGTGTGGCAGCCGGTGGGCGCTCCAGCCACACATGGCCGCTGCCCTTTGTTTAATACTCATGCTCCTGATCCGTAACATTGACAGCAGGGAGTTGTCGATTTTTGCCATCAATTTGCATAGCTTGGGCCCTGAATTTTTAAAATTAACACTTTATTTTGTTTAATTGATGTTTAAACTACCTCTGCTTCCTACAGTCAGAGCCAAACGGAACGAAGGAAATGGTGGGGGTGGCGCCTTGACCCTACTGGCTGGGATCCAGAGAAAAGAAAGCAGGACTGGCATTCTGGGGTCTGCAGTGCTGAGTGGGGGGCTCCCCCCCCATCTTCCCTGTAATCTAGCTTAACGCATGAGACTCAGAATTGCACTCTGCACTTAGTCCTGTCCTGCCTTGCTGGCATGAAGGGGCCTTTGTAAATAAGCTCTAGGCTCCTCTTCATCTTCCCCGAACCTCAGGCTGCTCCCCATTTCCTTCTAAGGCCTCTCAGTACATGCTTGATAATGGCAGTGCCCCTCGCCGGATAAATCCCCAGACCAGCAAGTGGGGCAGCAGCATTCTACATCCTTCGATAATCTTCAGAGGAGCGGGCCAGACTCCAGCATCAGCCCGGATGCCCTCCACCCTCTGCAGACCCACCGCAGAAACTGCCACCCCAGCAAATTAGCAGTGCCCCTGGGCCTTGGGTCCTGGTCTGGGACCCGGTATTCACCCGAGGCCTGCTTGTTCACCTGCTCTGCTCCATGTCTGCCTTTCAGAACGGGCGCAGAAA